AACCCCGACGCCCCTGAAGCCCTAAGCCCCTGAGAACTGCATGCAGCCGGCGGGCCCTCTTACCCCAGCCGACCGGAACCTGAACCTGATCGAAGGATGGTTTCCGGAGGTGAATTCCTATCCAGGGCGGCGTCTAGGGTTTGGGGCTTGGGGGGTTTAGGGTTTTGGGTTTGGGGTTCCGGGTGTTGGTGCCGCATATTAGGGCTGGTTTGACAAAAGGTTGAGGGCTTGGGGTCGAAAACGCTCCAACCTCAAACCCACGCAGCCGAATCGGGTTCGGCTCTAGGTCTTCACAACGTTCTCGAGGGCTTTGTGGGCCTGAAGTCTGAAGCGAACCCTCGGCATCCTAAACCCTACACGCCCTACAAACCCTACAAACCCTAAACTACCCTACAAAGAAGCCCTAGAAGCCCTTGGAGCTTCGGGTTTGGGGTTCCCTCGATGGTCCGTTGCCTACCAAAGAGCCCGAATTCGACTTAGGGTTTATGGTTTCGGGTTAACCCTAAACCCCTAAACCCTGGGCCCTCAGCCCTTTAGGGTTTAGGGTTTAGGGTTTAGGGTCTAGGGTCTAGGGTCAAGGGTCAAGGGTCAAGGGTCTAGGGTTTAGGGTTTAGGGTTTAGGGTTTAGGGTTTAGGGTTTAGGGTTTAGGGTTTAGGGTTTAGGGTTTAGGGTTTAGGGTTTAGGGTTTAGGGTTTAGGCTTTCAGGGTGTAGGGTTCAGGGTTTAGGGCTTTTCAAACCACAAGCCCTAAGCCCTTTTGTGGTTCAGGGTTCTGGGGTCAGACGAGGTGTAGGCCCGAGGGCTTTGGGAATGGTGAAGGGCGACCCTTCCTAAAATCTGGACTTAGGCTTAAGGTTTTGTAGGGCTTTGGCTTGAGGGATTAGGGCTTGGCCTTTTGTTCAAAGGGCTTGGGCTTTGAGGACTATGGTGTTCAAGGCAGGGTTGAAGGTTCATGAACACAAGAAGATGGGCACAGGACAGCTCGGAAGCTTCACGTGCAGCCACCCATCCTCATGACCGCAAGCCCCAACCCCAGAGCCTCAGACCCGTACAAGTCGCATGGCTTGGGTTCCGGGTTTTACCGCAGGTTTTAGGGCTTAGACTTGTCCTCTGTTTGAGGGTGCTAAAAATTTTCTTCATATAGAGAGATACACCTTGAATCTTATCCTTATCCGCCGAGGGCCTAGGCAGAAGGCGTTTGGGGTAAAGAACCCCTCCGGGACCCGGGCAGAACGCCGCTGCTGCTCCTGCTCCTTCGATCTAGACCCTGTACTTCCGTGAGTTTAGGGTTTGGGTTTAGGATTTAGGTTTAGGGTTTAGGGTTTAGGGTTTAGGGTTTAGGGTTTAGGGTTTAGGGTTTAGGGTTTAGGGTTTAGGGTTTAGGTCTTGGGGTTTGGGGTTTGGGGGTTAGGGCCTCTCTACCAAGTACCAAGACAGTGACCCGTAGGCTCCAAAGACTCTTGTTTGGGGATTCCCTGTGCCCATCGACCACATATGGGAGTTTCCAAGAAACGGTGGTGACGTTTTGGGGGTTCCTGGAGTAAGGATTATGGCATTCTGCGGCAGGGGAACTCGATCCCATATACCCACAGAAGATTTACAGTTTAGGGCTTCGGGCTCGCTATGTGGTCTCCCACTTGGTGTAGCCGAATATAAAGGGTGTGTGTGTGTGTGTGTCTTATCACAGGGATCCTCAAAATGGGCGCCACAACTGAGAGAGACGACAATCCAGATGCCCTTCGGGGCATTTGCCAGGACACCTAACCGCTAGACCCTACAACCCACAACCCTACAACCTAGACCCTGAACCCTAAAGCCTAAACCCCCAACCCTAAACCCCCCCACCCAAACCTCCAAGCCCGAAAACATGTCTGAAACCGGATGCCTCCGGCCAGTCTGGTCGATCCCTGCTGCAGTTGCAGACTTTGGTGTAAGGCTTCCCTACCCCTACGTGGGCTTGGGAGCTTAAGGGGGTTGGGGGGGGGTTAGGGGTTTAGGGTTTAGGCGTTTAGAGGTTTAGGGGTGAAGGGTTGAGGGGTTTATGGTTTAGGGGTGTAGGGTTTAGAGTTGAGGGGTCAGGGGTTTAGGGGTCTAGGGTTTACGGAGGGTCTAGGGCAACGCTGAGGGCTGAAGGTTGCGAGGGGCCGGGGTTGCCAAGGCCACCGTTCAGGATTTGGGGGGTGTGGGGTTGCAAGAGTAGGGGCGGTTTGGGATGTTCCCCCCTTATACTAGCAGCTAGGGATAAGAGGTAGCCCCTACGATAATCCCTATCAAGGACTGTTAATATACGGGGGAACATCCCCAAAAGGCGCTGTTCGGCATGCAAGAGCTGTTTGAAAGGCTTAGTGGGGCTGAAGGGTTAGGGCTTCGGGTTCTCAAAGGTGAAGGGGTTTGGCTGGACTCTTCACTAGAAGTGGGAGAAGCGGCGCGTTTCCATTTGACATTGTAAAGGGTGTAGGGCAAACCCAAAACCCCAACCCCAAAAGCGTGGGTAATATCGCAGACTGCCAAGGGGCTGGTGCCAAATTTCACGAGATGGCCACATCTCTACATTAATGGGCCCTTTTGGGGACTATTGAACCCTACGCCGAAAACCCACGCCGAAGACCCTGAACGGCCCAAACCGAGTTCTCAAAAACCAACCCCTGACACCCCCCCTGAAAAAAAAAAGGCCTCAGCCCTCAAGTTAAAGCCTCAAAGGGTTTAGGGTTGAGGGTTTAGGGTTTAGGGTTTAGGGTATATAGGGTTTAGGGTGACCCCAACCCTGAAGCCCTAAACCTACGGGCCTCCACCTTCGAGATTGAGGGCCACCGCGTCCACGGCCGCGGCCACGCCGCCGCGACACGGGGTAAGCCTCGCAGCCTCAAGGGAGCCGTAGGGTTTTTAAAAAGGGTTTTAAGGGTTTGTGTGGTGTTTTAAGAGGGTTTTTAAGGGTTGTTTAAGGGTTTTCAGGGTTTTGTGGGGTTTTTGAGGGTGTTTGAGCGTTTGAGGGTGTTTTAGGGCTTGGCAGGGATATACGCGGACCTTCCTGCAAGCCTTCCTGGCCCTCTAGATTCGCGCTTGCTTCACTCAGAACCCTGAACCCCAAATCCTAAACCCTGAACCCCAAATCCTAAACCCTGAATCCTTAACCCTAAACCCTAAACCCTAAACCCTCAACCCTAACACCCTAAACCCTAAACCCTAAACCCTAAACCCTAAACCATGCCTGCACAACTAAACTTCCGGCCAAAGCCTTCACCGAACCCCAAACTGGCTCCAAGAGCGACCCAGGAATCCAAAAAAAAAGTTCCGGGGTCCAGGTTTTGGGGTGTAGGGTTCTAGGGGTTTAGGGTTTGTGGTGTAGGGTTTTGGGTTTAGGGTTTAGGGTTTAGGGTTTAGGGTTTAGGGTTTAGGGTTTAGGGTTTAGGGTTTAGGGTTTAGGGTTTAGGGTTCCCTTTTTGGTGCAGCGTAAAGGGAACCTAACACCACACAAAGGGACTTGGGGAGTCCTTGCAAACCCTAAACCCTAAACCCTAAACCCTAAACCCTAAACCCTAAACCCTAAACCCTAAACCCTAAACCCTAAACCCTAAACCTCAGCTTGGGAGTTAGAAGCTAAGGTTTAAGGTAGTAGGGTTTTTGAGGGGTTTTGGGGCTTCTTAGGGATTTTTAGGGCTTTGGGGGTTTCTAGGTGTTTTTTGGGCTTTTAGGGATTAGGGCTTCAGGTTTTGGATTTGGGGTAGCTCCTTGGACAGTCTGGAGTTTGAGGGCGTTAGGGGAAACCCTGAGCCCTCTTCCCTAAAGCCATAAGCCTCAACCCTGAGTCTTCGTCAACCCCCCCCCAAAAAAAAAACACCTAAACTCTAGGGTTAACACCCAAACTTAAGATAGAGAACTGGATAGGTTCTGTGAAAAAGCAGCTCAGGATCGCGCACCTTTTCAAAGGGCGCCACAACACGAGGCCCTCCTTCCCCCGCGTTTCAGGGGTCGGAGCTAAGCGATCCGGCGGTGACACGATCAATTCCGAGACAGGTCTCATCTAGGCCACGGCTTTAGACGTCCGAAGCCCTTGTAACCCTTCCGTTCCTTGCGACGGCTGCGCTGAACATGGGGGTTTCCGAAATTAGGGGTACCTTCTTAGGGGTCCTTACTAAAAAGGGGATCCTACTATTTGATATTGGGGGTCCCCTATTTCTCGTAAACCCCCATATGTAGGGTGGCTCGTAGTGTGGAACTCTTGGGGCTTCGGGGGCGTTAAGGCTCTTGATGAACCGAGCAGCCTCGAAGGCGACACTGGCACATCATTCTTTAGGGTTTAGGGTTTAGGGTTTAGGGTTTAGGGTTTAGGGTTTAGGGTTTAGGGTTTAGGGTTTAGGGTTTAGGGTTTAGGGTTTAGGCACCCCTTGCTTCGATCATTTCGATCATTGGGATTGCCAGTTATATAAGAGCTCCCTCACAGTAAGGGCCCCAGGAATAAAAAAAAGGGTGAAGGGGCTTCTAAGGGGAGCCCTAAACCCTAAACCCTAAACCCTAAACCCTAAACCCTAAACCCTAAACCCTAAACCCTAAACCCTAACAAGGGGGACTCAGGGAACCGAATCTGGGTCTTCGTTATAGCCACCCGTGAACCTCCCCAAGTAGGGTTCAGGGTCGGAGCTGAACCTTGAAACGTCCAGAAGGACTAAGCTCTGCACCCTCGAAACATTAAAACAAAAACTCCGAATGTAGGGGTCGGAAGTAGTACTAATGATGTTCCCTCATAGTCCCTTTATGCTTATACAATAATCTCTCCCCCCAAAACCCACTTCTAATGATTAAGGCCCCTACATTAAGCACCTGTCGCTGAACGTAAACTCTGAAGCTTGACTGCTAGAAGCTGAAACCCTACACTGCAAGGTTTAGAGTTTGGGGGCCTTAGGGTTTTGGGATTCAGGGTTTAACTAACCCCGAACCACTCAACTTCAACTTCCACTACGCCTTAAACCAGAGACGCTGGCACGCCGCGGCCCAAGCCCACATTAAACATTCCAAGTCTTCCTCTGCCTGGCGCTTCAACCCTAAACCCTAAACCCTAAACCCTAAACCCTAGACCTTAAACCCTAGGGGTTGAGGCTTCTTCGGCCATCTTAGGGGGCAGGTTGTTAAAGCTAGGGCCTTCTGGGGCTTCTTAGGGCAACCCCAAAGTCTGTGGGTTCAGGGTTTAGAGTGTAGGGCTTAGGGTTTAGGGCGTTTTCGGGTTAAGGGTTTAGGGGTTTGGGGTTTAGGGTTTAGGGTTTAGGGTTTAGGGTTTAGGGTTTAGGGTTTAGGGTTTAGGGTTTAGGGTTTAGGGTTTAGGGTTTAGGGGATTCAAGCTTTCATAGGAGCCTCGACCCTTCGGCCCTAATTTTCAGCCTCAGCCCTTAACCCCTGAAGCCGCTCATCTGTGAACCCTGAAACCCGCAATCACATACCTACTTACTTTACGGGATGAGCACTCCCATGAATAAGCTAGCTACAGATTGCGGTGATGCTAAGCCGGCATCGAGGTGCATTTTCTTGATAATCTGAGCTTTCGTATTCGTAGAGTAGCTTGGTGTTGGTAGATTAATTTTAAGCTGATTAAGATAGCATTTAAATACTGGGAAGGACTTCTTGGGCCAGTACGGGAAACATGAATCTATGCAATTATTGGTCGATTGAGTGAATGGCTTTGTTCACGTGAGTTAGACAAGCTTCTCGCCCCAAATCAAAGGTCTTTAGACCAACTTCGGCAGTAGCATGGTTGTAATGCCTCTGTTTCTCGCTTCTTGGTGTGGATAGATTCCCTAGATTTTATCCTATACAGGGTCATTTACTTGTGTCCTCTGGTGGACTGTTGTAGTCGCGTCCAACATTGTCCCAACCCTCAACCCTCAACCCTGAAGCCCCGCAAGCCCTGCAAATGCCGCAGAAAACTCAGCAGCACTACAAAACGCAGAAAAAGCCTTAATAAGGCTTAGGGCAGTTACATGGTCCGTTAATACGGGCCCTTACTCCCTTAAATTGGGGGGGCGGGGACCACACCTGAACTACCCGTTGCTTAAGAACCCCGAAAAAACAATAAACAACAATATTATGATAAAAAAAAAACAATTCTTCCTTTTCAGGTATCCTGTATGTTGGAGGTTCTTCAGCAAATGATCCCTTACAGGGTATATGTAGGGGGATATAAGTAAGGTAGCTCGTTTTGTGAGGTTCTTAAGCAAACTGTATTGAGATTAAGGGTTGGGATGTTCCCCCTTATACGATCAGTCCTTCCTAGGAAATATAGTACCCCCCATTAGAACCCCTACTAAGGACTGTTGGTATAAGGGGGAACATCCCAAATTAGTGGTCGAAACCCTACTTTGGAGTAGACCCTGGAACAAGAAGTATATACTTCTTAGGTATAAGCAGCTATAGCAGGACCCCAGAACCCAAAAAAACATGTTCAAGTATAGTAGGTATAAGCAGCTAGAATAGGAACTCAGAAGCCAAAAAAAATGTTCAAGTATAGCACTCCTTAAGACCCTAAACCCTAAACCCTAAACCCAGTAAACGGTGCCTCGCCTGTTGGGCGGCGGCCTCGCACTGCGCCTCGCGCCGATGGGCGGGTTTGCCGGCACGTTCGGCCGGCGCCTTCGTGGGTTTAGGGTTTAGGGTTTAGGGTTTAGGGTTTAGGGTGTAGGGTTTAGGGTGTAGGGTGTAGGGTGTAGGGTGTAGGGTGTAGGGTGTAGGGTGTAGGGTGTAGGGTGTAGGGTGTAGGGTGTAGGGTGTAGGGTGTAGGGTGTTACAGTAGTCTATGTATTTCTGGTCCTATGATCCGGCGCAACCCCACCACCGCCGTGGCATCATCTGGTAGAGGCGCGGGGGAGGGGGGGAGGGCGTGGGAGCTTTGAAGCGAAGGAGTTGTTGCTGCCCTACCCCCTAAACCCTAAAAACCCTGAACCCTAAACGCTGACCCGGAAACCCTAAACCCTAAACCCGAAATCCTAATCCCTAAACCTAAACCCTAAACCCTAAACCCTAAACCCTAAGCCTCCTTGACATTGAAATCATGGCGCGCGAAGCAAGCCCTGGGCTCCGGGCATGTCTCGATATTGCCCGCCCTTGTGTGTCAGAAGGGACGCTACAGGGTTAAGGTTTTGGGATTTTTGGGTTTAGGGCTTGGGGTTTGGGGTTGGGGGTTGGGGGTTTGGAGTTTCGGGGGCTAGGGTTTGGGGGCTTTAGGGTTTTTTTTTTTTTGGGGGGGGGGGGGGGGGGGCTCTGAGGTTTTGCGGGTCTGGGGGCCTTGGGCTTAGTAGGGTTAGTCGGTTTATGGCATGCATACTGGGCCCTTTAGGGTTTGGGCTTTTGGGGTTCAGAGTTGGCTTCGGGTTGGAGGCCCCAAAGTTGGGGTTTGGGGTAGAGGGCTGCGAAGCCGAACCTTAAACCCAAATCCTAAACCCCAAATAAACCCTACTACCCAAATCTTAAACCCCAAACTCCAAATCCTAAACCCCAAACGCTACACTCTAAACCCTAAACCCTAAACCCCGAACCCTAAACCCCAAAACTCCCAAGCCCCAGAACCGGCTTGGACTTCGAGATGGCTCCCTAAACCCTAAACCCTAAACCCTAATACTAAGTCCTACGCCCTGAACCCTCTCTATCACATGTATATTTAACCTTTGAAGGATTTCTTGGTCTCTCTCGGTACCAATGTTGTTAGCTTTTCGGTCCATCCGGGAAGAATGTTATTAGCTTTTCGGTCCCTCTGGTAGCTTTTCGGCCCCTCCAGTACCGGTCATTTCGGTCCCTTCCGGGCTGGGGGGGGGGCAATGTTATTCGCTTTTCGGTCCCTGCACGCGGGGGGCGCACCAGTGTTATTAGCTTTTCGGTCCCGCCGGGCTGGGGGGGGGGGGGGGGCATGTTGTTAGCTTTTCGGTCCCTTCGGGCTGGGGGGGACCCATGTTACTAGCTTTTCGGTCCTTCCGAACTGTGGGTCAACGCTATTACGTAGCTGTTCGGTCCCTCCGAGTTGGGGGGGACTCATAGCTTTTCGGTCCCTCCGGGACCAATGTTATTAGCCGTTTGGTCCCTCCGGGGCTGGGGGGCCTTGCTTTGCTTTTGCTGAAGGAGTAGTGAGCAATTGAAGCGGAAAGGGGTTCATGAAGATCCTCTATCTTTTTACATGTTTGGGATTCTTTGGGCAGGTAGGTTTTTGTCCAAGTCTACGCTCTGCCCGCTCGACAGAACTGCTCGATCGGGAGCTGCTGAACCCTAAACCCTAAACCCCAAACCCCTAACCCCTAAACCCCAAACCCCAAACCCCAAACCCCTAAACCCCAAACCCTAAACCCTGAACCCTAAACCCTAAACCCTGAACCCTGAATCCTGAACCCTAAACCCTAAACCCTGTGCCCAACCGGGGCCTTCTGGGCTGCCCCGATGACGACCGGCCCAATCAGCGGAGGGGCAGGGCGCGGAGGGACGTACTGCACCTGAGCATGCCGGGCTCAGGGTTTAGGGTTTAGGGTTTAGGGTTTCGGGTTTAGGGTTTCTAGGGTTTCTAGGGTTTCGGGGTTGGGGCTCAGGGCTTACGGCTCAGGATTTCGGGTTCCTACAAACCTAAACCCGAAACTCTAAACCCCAAACCCCCAAACCCCCAAACCGCCCAACCCCCCCAACCCCCCCAAACCCCCAAACCCCCAAACCCCCAAACCCGCAAACCCCCAAACCCAAACCCTAAACCCTAAAACCTAAACCCTAAACCCTAAACCCTAAACCCTGAACCCTAGACCCCAACCCCTACAGTCTCGGGTTCAGGGGATCAGCAAAGCCGCAGCCTCATGGCGCCATGGCGGCACCTGGCATAGCTGGTACCAGCACTGACACCACACCCCTCAAGGAGTTGAGGGGATATTTGGCCTTTTGGGGTTTACGGCCTTGTGGATTTAGGGCCTTTTTGGCCTTTTTTTGGGGGGTTGGGACTTTTTGCGGGGGGGTCTAGCGCCTTTTTGGTTTTGGGGGGTTTGGTCTTTCGGGGTGTTTAGGGCCTTCTTTGGGGGGGTTTAGGGCCTTCTTTCGGGGGGGTTTAGGGCCTTTGCCTTTTGCATTTGGGGTTTTGCGGGTTTGGGGTTTTCGGGTGCGAAAACTCAACCTGACCAAGCTTGCCCTGAAACCTCCGACGGACGCGGCCAAGGGCAGTCCTAGACCCTATAAACCCTAAACCCTAAACCCTAAAACCTAAACCCTAAACCCTAAACCCCAAACCCCAAACCCCAAACCCTAAACCCCAAACCCTACATGACATGGCGGGTGGGCCGAGGGATGGCTACTTCCAGCGGCGTAGTGGCCTGGTCAAGATACGACTGAGGAGCATGTGCACAAACGGATGCACCTGCAAATACATTATTACATTATTGCTTGGAGGTTCATTTAGGGTACGTATTTAGAAGTAGGGCTTAGGGTGCAGAGTTTAGGGTTAGGGTAAGAAGTTATAGCCTTACTCAGGGAACTTGCAACCCTACTTGTAAGTGCCCACGAACCTTCAAGTAGGGTATACTAGGATCCAACATCTCACCCACTGGCAACTGCATCGATGCCTCAGTGCGGAGCTTTTTCCAGGAGGGCTCTCCACACTCTGTTTGATCCCACAACTAATTCCGCAATAACCCCCAAACCCTAAACCCTAAACCCTAAACCCTAAAACCCTAAACCCTAAACGCACAATTAATTTCGCAATAACCAAACCCCAACCTTGGGATGTTCCCCCTTATACTAACAGTCCTTAATGGGCATTATCATCGGGGGTACTTATCATCCCTATTAAAGACTGCTAGTATACATTCAGGGGGGAACAGCCCAACCAAAAACCCCAAAGGCCCTGAACCGCTGCGTCGCACATGGTGACTACAGGGGCTGGGCCGTCGGGCAGACAGCGCCTTGTAAGGCTCAACTTTCAAAAGCCCAATAAAAAAAATAAAAAATAAAAAATAAAAAACAACCTCCCTCCCCCTACCCCCTCCCCCACGGCCACAAGCAAGAGCAACTCCAGAATCCGACGCTCTAAACTCGACTACGACACTCCAAGTCTTGAAGGGGCCCATCGGGACGAGAAAGCGAAAGACTCCTCCCCCCCAAGGCCCGGGCCGAAAGGCGTTGGGTTCGCCTTGGCCCCCGGTTGATGGTTTAGGGTTTAGGGTTGAGGGGTTTAGGGGTTTAGGGGTTTTGGGGTTTTGGGGTTTTGGGGTTTAGGGGTTTAGGGGTTTTGGGGCTTTGGGGTTTTGGGGTTTTGGGGTTTAGGGTTTGGGGTTTGGGGTTTAGGGTGGCTTGGAGAGTTTGACTTTTTTTTGCCCAAGGTTTGTTGGCAAGATCAACCCTAATGTTCTAGTCGAAGGCTAGGGCGAGTTGTGGAGAGGCAGGCGGCAAGGGAATTGCAGAAGAACCCCAAGCCCTAAACCCTGAACAACAACCCTAAACCCTAAACCCTAAACCCTAAACCTTAAACCCTCAACCGCAAATCCAGACTTGCAAGCATTTGGCATGGTGCCTTTGCCCATCTCCCTAATCAAGGAAGTGAAGCCATGTCTCAAAACCCCATGGCCCCAAACCTCCCGAAATTTCCTGAGATTTGGGACTCACAGCCCTGACCGCAAAGTCGTTAACAATGGCACCCAACCCCAGAATGAGGGGTGATTCGGACATTCTTGTGGGTGCTTTCTCTCGGCAAGTCGTAAAGGGAATTTAGGGGTTCCAAGGGTTTGGAAAGGTTTAGGGTATAGGGTATAGGGTTTAGAGTTTAGGGTTTAGGGTTTAGGGTTTAGGGTTTAGGGTTTGGGGCTTAGGGTTTAGGGTTTAGGGTTTAGGGTTGAAAGGTTTTGAGGGCTTTAGGCTGCGCCTGATAGGGGGCGGCCGCCAGCGGCCGCTCGTAGCCCGGCCGCAAGGGCGCCATCTGCCGGACCTGTCTTTGGGACAATAAAGCAATCTAGGTTGCCCAGTAACCTAGGATGAAAAATGGTGCCCTTTTTTGCTTAAAGGGGTTTATAAGGGAACCTAAACCTACCAAAAAGGGAATGAGGGTACTACTGGGCATCATAGCAATTATGAACAAGACTACTTGGTTTCGGGTTTGGGGTTAGGGCCCTACTGACACTCCACTAAGCCTCTGCTACTGCACGCGAGACACAACCCCCATGAGTTTGGGATCAGGGGTTTCGTGCTTTGGGAGTACAGGGGTTGCGGAATGAGGCGGGATTGGAGGCTTAGGGCTTTGGGGCTTAAAGGGGGCAGGAGAGAGGGGAGACCATGCTGCCCAGTCCTACCTGACTACCTCTTTAAGGGTTGTAGGGCTTTGGTTAGGTCCCCGTATTACTGAGAAAAAAACAAAAACACGCACCCCCTTTTTTCTTAAGGCTGCCGGGGAACCAAAAGGGGAGGGAGAACACTGCCTTACATGGCTATCACTCCAAAGTGGCTGGCCTTCAGGACCTTGGTGGGCCTCGGTGCGTCCTTCGAAGCCGCCGCGATTTAGGGTTTAGGGTTTAGGGTTTAGGGTTTAGGGTTTAGGGTTTAGGGTTTAGGGTTTATGGCTTTAAGTGTTTTTAAGCCTTTTGGAGAACTCAACGCCCCTTCAGGAACATCAAAATGGAGGGATTTACTCATCTACCAGCCTCTGAAATGGTAAGCTATCAAGAAAAGTTCAAGGCTTGTGGTGACGGTTTACGGGCAGTTGCAATAGTAGCGGAGACTCCGATTGTAGCCTTGGGTTGCGACAAAAAGAACAAACAAACAAACCATGGAATAGAACAAGGACATGCTTGGGAGACCGCCCGTCGGTCACAAAAGCATGTTGAGGTTGCTCTTAAGCATGGTCTGAATTCTGGTCTCCATTAGAGTGTAGTCTTAGGGGCACCAAAGAAACAGGATTAAGCAAGTGCACATAGATGAGATCAACCCTCACATGCAACTCCGCCACCCCAAGACCAGAAAAGCCCCCTCCATTCGTCCCTTAAGAACCCTCCTAGCCACCTCATGGGGCTTGTGGAGTCCCGTTTTGGGGTCTCTGTTCGGAGTTTTCCATACATATATATATATATGTATGTGTATATATATATATATATGTGTGTGTGTACATATTTACATAATATGTATATATGCGCGTGCATGTACATATGTACATGCATGTACAGATGTACATATACATACAGGTATTTCTGAAAGTGTATGTGTGTGCATACTTATCTATTTAATAAGTAAAGTGTGTATGTATGTATGTATGTATGTATGTATGTATGTATGTATGCATGTATGTATGTATGCATATATATATATATATATATACCTATGTGTATATACATATATGGTATGACGGCTTTTAAATGAACATAAGCTTACTTAATTTTACTTATAGATAAGAATTTTGTTTATCTGTGTTTCTACTTCATTTCTACTTAGAGTGTGCGTATACACATACATGAAGTCAGAATCAGGTGCCAAGAAGAAAATCTCATACCAGCACTAGGGGAGGGCAAGAGGCTTTTAGTCCTCAGGGGCCCTGAGTGGACTGAACCCTAAACCCTAAACCCTAAACCCTAAACCCTAAACCCTAAACCCCTAAACCCTAAACCCCAAACCCCGAACCCTAGATCTGCTGCAGGCCTGCGAGGCCGGCTGCGAGGCCGGCCGCTTGTTGCCAGGCTTCGCGGCCTGCAGCAGCCGTGGGGGCCAAGTCTTCTTCGCAGCTTTTTCGGGTTTAGGGTTTAGGGTTTAGGGTTTAGGGTTTAGGGTGTAGGGTGTAGGGTTTAGGGTTTAGGGTGTAGGGTGTAGGGTGTAGGGTGTAGGGTTTAGGGTTTAGGGTTTTCATCATGGTTGGGGCTTGGGGATCCCTAAGACCGAAGGGTTGCGACATGGTCCTTACTATGGACCCTTAGCTGAAGGCACCCCTTCTATGCCCCCTGGTATGCCCTATGCAAACCCAAAGGGCCCCAGACTTCAGAAGCCTCTCAGGAAGGTAAGGGGCCATGTTAAGGGGCCTGGTAACTACCCTTTTTTTAAACCCCAAACCCCAAACCCCAAAGAGCTCAGAAGTTGGGGCTTCTTTTACTGACAGCACTCAAGGCCAGAGTTCGTTAAATATTCGGGCCGCAGGCCCAGAGCCCCAACTCCTGAAAGCCCCAAACCCTCAAGCCTCCAACCCTCCGAAACCCTGGAGCACCCAATGCCCCTAAACCCTAAACCCTAAACACACAACCCTAAACCCCACCACCGAGACCCTCAAAACGCCCCGGAAAATCCTCGGGGCGGAACCTCCTTGGGGCGCGCTTTGGGCGGCGGGGCAATTGCCAAGAGCTGGCTGGGCGCCAGGGTCCTCCTCAGTAGGTTTAGGATTTAGGGTTTAGGGTTGGTTTAGGGCTTTTGGGGCTGCTGGGGCTTGAGGGTTTTAGGGTGTTCGGGCGGCGGTTTCGGGGTTTGATAGCTTTAGGGCTTGAGGGCTTGAAGGAAGGTTTGGGGGCTTTGAGGGCTTCGGTGATCAGGGCCTTAGAAAACTTGCGCGCGGGGCTTTGAGGGGCTCACCGGCTCTGGTTGTTGGGGTGTCGGTTTGATGGAGTTGGCTCCAGGCCCCCCAAAGTAGGGTTTAGGGTTGAGGGTTTAGGGTTTGGGACCTAGGATTCAAAGCCTACACCCTAAAATGCTAGCCCCTCCGGCCCTCCGGTCTTGGAATCCGGCTGGGGCGGCGCGAACGCCTGCGGAAGGCCCGACCTGGCTAAGATCCGAGCCCCAAAGCCCAAAAGCAAGAAACCCCAGGAAACCTGAAGCCCCCAAAGCTAACCTTAAACCACACCAAGACAAGTAAGCCACCCAAAAAACGCAGAAACACTAACCCCCAACAATGCAACCCTGAACCCCATCCGGTTTGCTCAAAGGCTACGCCTTTTTGGGAGAAGGGTTGAGGGCCTAAAGTTTGGGGTGTAGGGTTTAGGGCTTAGGGTTTAGGATGTAGCGTGTAGGGTTTCAGGTTTGGGGTTCAGGGTTTAGGGGTTTAGGGTTTAGGGTTTAGGGTTTAGGGTTTAGGGTTTAGGGTTTAGGGTTTAGGGTTTAGGGTTTAGGGTTTAGGGTTTAGGGTTTAGGGTTTAGGGTTTAGGGTTTAGGGTTTAGGGTTTAGCAGATCCCTGGTTCTGCCTCCTGTTCGCCGGCCGCGACTTTTGGATGCCTTTGGGGACTGGCTCGGGCTCCGGCGGCCTGCAGCTGGGCTTAGGGTTCAGGGTTTAGGGTTTGGGGTTTGGGGTTTAGGGTTTAGGGTTTAGGGTTTAGGGTTTGGGGTTTGGGGTTTAGGGCTTAGGGCTTAGGGCTTAGGGCTTAGGGCTTAGGGCTTAAGGCTTTGGGCTTTGGGCTTTGGGGTTTGGGGTTTGGGGTTTGGGGGGTTTGGGGTTTGGGGTTTGGGGTTTGGGGGGTTTGGGGTTTGGGGTTTGGGGTTTTGGGGTTTGGGTTTGGGGTTTTTGGGTTTGGGGTTTGGGGTTTGGGGTTTGGGGTTTGGGGTTTGGGGGGGTTTTGGGGTTTGGGGTTTGGGGGGTTTGGGGTTTGGGGTTTGGGGTTAGGGGTTAGGGGTTAGGGGTTAGGGGTTAGGGGTTAGGGGTTAGGGGTTTAAGCGCACGAGAAGGGTTTAGGATTGCGTGTTCAGGTGTTGGTTTTTAGGGTCACAAAATACCTAAAGATGTTCGGGCTTAGGCCCTACAAACCCCAAAATGCCGTAAATCCCCGTAAATCCCAACCCCTAGTCCCGAATCGCGAATCCCTAATCCCTAAACCCTAAACCCCAAACCCCAACTGAACCCTAAACTTGCACCCTACATTAAACTGTCGGCAGGTTCTTAGGTACTTACAAGTAAGGTTAGAAGTACCCTAAAAAAGGTTATAACCATACTTACCCTGGTTATGACCCTACTTACAAGTACCCATGAACCTCCACGTATTCGGGTTTCGGATTTCGGGTCTCGGATATCGGGCTAGGGGTATTTCAGGCCCTGAACCCTGAACACTGAACCCTGAACCCTGAACCCTAAACCCTAAACCCTAGACCCTAAACCCTAAGCCCTAAGGTTAACTTAGGGTTCAGGGTTTGGGGTTTGGGGTTTTGGGTTCAGGGTTTTGGGTTTAGGGTTTAGGGTTTAGGGTTTAGGGTTTAGGGCTATATAAGGTTCTGATACACTGCACCGGGGGATTATGGTAACCGACGATAAGTTCCTCAACAAGAACTCAGGCAAAATCCTGAAGCCGATTTCAGGACCCTGATGCTCAAGAACCTTCTCACGCCCCGACTTTCTGGGGTGGAAGTGCTTTGCCCCTTTAAACCCCTAAACCCTTTGAAACCCAAACTCCTTAACCCCCCCCCCCCCCAAGAGCCTCTTGGGCTTTGGGACAGGCGCTGGCTCAGCTGGTGGCCTGGGGCAATTGAAGTTTGGGACTTCGGGAAGTCGGCGGCTTGGGGTTTCTAAGGTTGGAACCATGGGCCCGTGGCATGGTCCCTTACCCAATTGTTTCAGGGGATTTAGAGGGATCCGAAGTATGGGCCCTTGTTATGTATGGTGTATATAAGGGGGGGAAAACACGGGACCCACATTAAGGGCCCATACTTCGGGCCTCCGAGGGTTTCAGGGTGTAAGGCTTATGCCCCCCAAGGCGCAAAGACTACTGCCCTCTTTAGCACGCGAATTTCGGGAATGTAGACTAGAGGTGTGGTAAAAGCACTTTTTGTCCGATGAGTTTTGCCGTGGAGGCCAGGCGCGTTTTTTCTTGCTGTAGAGGCGGGGCGTTTATGCTGTTATTGCTTGGGCGCGTTTTTTGTTGTGGCGGTCGTGTGCATTTCTTCTGTGGAGGCCGCCGGGGAGGCCGGGTGGTTTCTTGCTGTGGAGGGTGCGTGCTATAGCTGTGCAGCGCCACTCTTTTTTTGCTGTGGGGGCAGGCGCGTTTTTGTTTCTTTCTTCCTTTCATATTTATTTGTTCTTGTTATTATGTGTTTTTGTTCTCTCTCTCTCTCTCTTTCTGTACTCAAGTTTCTGATGCTTTCCAATTTGTTGATGTTTCTTAAATTGCTTGATGTCGGGTAAAACCCTCAACCCTAAACCCGAAACTGCCCGGCACTCGCTGAGCACAAAGTCTACGCGACTGTGGGACACAGCCTCTCTCATTGGACCTGCAGCAACATTGGCCGCAGCAACATTAGCTGCATCGCACATGAAACCCGAAACCCCAAAGCCCTACTAAATCCTAAACATTGACACCGTTCACTCCAAAACCCAAGAAGAATGCGTGTTGACTAGCTTTAGGGGAGGGCTTGGGCGTGTAGGCAGAACCCCGGACCCTAGACTTAGACTCAACCCTAAACTCCAAACAACACCTACACCCTGAGCCCTAAACCGTAAACCCTACACCCCTAAACCCTACGTACACCACTAAACCCTATATAATATACACCCCTAAACCCTATACATCCCTAAACCCTAAACACCCCTAAACCCCAATAAACCCTAAACCCTAAACCCTAAACCCTAAACCCTAAACCCTTCAAGAAGCAAAGGTCGCACCTCCACTTTGGAGCCGATCGAGGCTTTGGGACGGGCACCGGCTCCTTGAACCTGTTGGTTCAAGTTTTAGGGTTTGCATGCGGTTTAGGGTTTAGGGTTTAGGGTTTAGGGTTTAGGGTTTAGGGTTTAGGGTTTAGGGTTTAGGGTTTAGGGTTTAGGGTTTAGGGTTTCGGGTTTCGGGTTTAGGGTTTGGAGCTTGGGGTTTAGGGTTTGGCTTTCACGGCTTGGGGTGTGGCGGCGTAGCGCGTTCGGGCCCTTTGCTAGGGCAGCAGATTGCTGGGCGTCTCAGGCGGGCAGGCTGGCCTTCGAAACATGTTGGGGGGAGGTCTCACGTAGATTGGCTAAGGGCCCTTAACCCTGAACCCTAAACCCTAAACCCTATTATGAATACAGGAGCCTAGATACTTATCAGCATCGTCCCCTTTCAGGGTGCCTAGTGCCATGAGAACCCTGACCCTGACCCGCAGCCTCGGGGCAACAGTCTTTGCAGACGCAGATTTCGAAGGTGTCGCCACCTCCTTCCTTGCATGTCATTCGGCGGAGGGGCGGGGAAGCCCAATCACCCTCAATCCTAAACCCTAAACCCTAAACCCTAAACCCTAAACCCTACGTTCAAGCGTAGCTTGAGGAAAGTACGTCAATAACGAGGGAGTCCTGGGCTCGCTCGGCCCCAGCATTGAGATTGCAGAGTCTGGCTAAGGTGACTCTACCCTAAGCCTCAAAACCTTCACCCTAAACCCTCAACCCGACATGCTAAACCCTAAACCCCAAACCCTCAACCCTAAACCCGAATTTGGGCTTTAGGCTCAAGCCTGATTCAGGATACTTAGAACCCTGCTTGAGAGTACGAATACATACTAGGACGGCCTTATCACCCTCTGAAAAAAAAACATTCCTGAATGTGATCCTCCTAAACCCAACAACAAGGGAAAGTATAATATGTCCCAAGGGCCTGACCTAGCCCCCTTCAAGGGGCACTCATACCCCCAATAATAGGATCCTTATGCTTCTGTCATTTCGGGGGGCCCCGACTGGCAAGTACCCGAACCCTACACCTAAACCCCAAAACCCCAAGCCCTAATTAAGCCCCAAACCCCAAGCCCTAAACCCTAAACCCTAAACCCTAAACCCTAGGTATAAGTACCCCATTCATTGAACCTCCGAGCACTCCCAGACAGTCCAGAACCCTGCAGCTGAGCCAAGCGGCGCATGCCCGCTCCTGGGATGCAAACGCTCCCAGCTAGGGTTTAGGGGTATAGGGCCCAGGGCTTAGGGCTTAAGGCTTAGGGCTTAAGGCTTAGGGTTTAGGGTTTTGGGTTTAGGGTTTAGGGATCAGGGTTTAGGGCTTAGGGTTTAGGGTTTAAGCCCTTGTCTATGGACTTCGGGGGCGGGACTTGGAGGGGAACAGCATTGGATTGCAATAGTTGGGAGCGACTATTGTTCACCCCTAAACCCTGAAACTAAATAAGCCTAAACCCTAACCCCTAAACCCTCAAATCCTAACCCCTGAACCCGAGCCCCTAACTGCCCCAAAAAAAAAAGAAAGAAGAGAGAGAGAGAGAGAGAGAGAGCGCAGTGACAATAAAACGTCTCCAAAGCCCGAGGCCAAGGTTCGGCCTGGCTTTGGGCCGCGGGCGCGCCGGCCCGGCGAGTCGCCGCGCCCAGGCCTGCTCGGGGCTTTTCCTTTGGGGGGTTTGGGGTTTAGGGTTTAGGGTTTAGGGTTTTAGGGTTTAAAGTTTAATTTTGGGGTTTGGGGTTTGGGCCATCTGGGGGTTGGGGTTCAGGGTTTAGGGTTTGGGGTTTGGGGTTTGGGACCCAGCCGAAACCTAAAACCCTAAACCTCAAAACCGTCAAACCTAAAAACATAAAACCCTAAATACCTTAAACCCTGAAACCCTGAAACCTGAAACCCGAAACCCGAAACACCTAAACCCTAAACCCTAAAATCACACCTAAACCCTAAACCCTAAACCCTAAAATCACACCTAAACCCCAAACCCCTAAACCCTGAACCCCAAAGCACGCAAGACTTCTCGATTCGTAGCCTCCGGGCTGGCGCCCGCCCGCAAGGCCTTGGCAGCGCCTGTGAGGCTTAGGGTTTGGGTTTAGGGTTTAGGGTTTAGGGCTTAGGATTTGGGGTTTAGGGTTTAGGGTTTGGGGTTTGGGGTTTGGGGTTTGGGGTTTAGGGTTTGGGGTTTGGGGTTTGGGGTTTAGGGGTCAGGGTTTGGGGTTTGGGGCTTAGGGCTTGGGGCTTAGGGTTTGGGGGTTAGGGGTTAGGGTTTGGGGCTTAGGGCTTGGGGCTTAGGGTTTAAGGTTTAGGGTTTGGGGTTCAAGGCTTAGGGTTTAGGGCTTGATGGGGCTTAGCGGGTTTACTGCAGTAGGGTGTAGCAGGGCTCTGGGTTTAGGTTTCGCGGTTCAGGGTTCAACGGCTTAAGGTTTCAAGCTTTTGCTTGTTCATTCACCCTAAACCCTAAACCCTAAACCCTAAACCCTAAACCCCCTGAACCCCAAACCCTCCGCGAAGAGTCGCACAGGCCTTGGCAGCGTGCCAGAAGATGCTGCCACTTCTGCCTATGCTGCTACGATTTAACGAATATGGTTTAGGGTTGAAGGGTTGACGGGTTTAGGGTTTAGGGTTTAGGGTTTAGGGTTTAGGGTTTAGGGTTTAGGGTTTAGGGTTTAGGGTTTAGGGTTTAGGGTTTAGGGTTTAGGGTTTACGGTTCCCCCGCAGACTGTCTTACGAACGCAGCAAAAAAACTCAGCATCTACTGTAGTGATTGCTGTTTCTGGTGAGTATACGCACGGCCAAACTAGACAACTGTTCAAGACTTCCTGAGATGCAGATTCTTCACTCCCCGCGCCACGTTGACGCCCTCGATCGACACCGCCCTTGGCTGAGCTTATCAGTCTCTGAATCTTGTCCCAAGAACCTCAGGGTCTAAAGTTTTTAGCCACCCGAAAAACCAACCAAATCCTGTATTCGGCTTGGGATTGGGGAGTTCGGGGTTGCAGGGGTTCAGGGTTCGAGGCCCCTTAAAGTTTTTGAGGGGCTTCCTCCAAGCCCTCAGGCCCCCTAGGCCCCCAAGCACGAAACAGGTTAGCCCAAAGCCTGTTGAAACCAAAACCCCTACCGTTACGATCCCTACCAGCCCAAGCAAAGACTAGTGTAAAATCATAACCCAGAATTGAAACCACAAAGAAGACCCCCCCCCCCCCCCCCCCCCCCCCCCCCCCCCCACTCCCTCCCAACCCCGCCCCCCCCTCCCCTCCTCACACCCCACACTACCCTAAAACCTCCAACCCTAAACCCTAAACCTTACACCCCCAACCCGGCACCTTAAACCCTATAAACCCTAAACCTTGAGCCCCAGCCCTGCACCCTAAATTGACAACCCTAAACCCTCAACCAGAAAGCCTCAACCCTGCACCCTAAGCCCTAAACCCTGAACCCTAAACCCTACACCCCTACTACACCCCTAAATCCTGAACCCTGAACCCTGAACCCTAAACCCTAAATATCCCTAAACCCTAAACCCTAAACCCCCTGGCGCCTGGCCGCAGGGTCTTCCAGGAAGAAGACGGCCGCGTCGTCCGCGCGACCGCAGGTCTCCCGGCAGGGCATCAGGCCAACGCCCAGGGGGCCTCTCAGGGGCTCAGAAGGAGGGGGGGGGGGCAAGTACGGGTTTAGGGTTCCGGTGTTAGGGCTTAGGGGTTTAGGGTTGAGGGAGGGTTTAGGGTTTGGGGCTGGGGGCCTCTGATGGAGGAGGGCAGCGCTTGTGATTGCTGAGGGTGGCCATTGCCTAGGCTCTTGCATGTTTTGTTACAGGAAGCTTTGTGGAAGCACCACACCACTGAGGGTTTGGGATCTTATGAGGATCCTAAGCTCTCAGCCTCAGAGGCTTCGGGGTGTGAGGAGGGGCTTCAGGCTGGCTAATTGCTAACTGGGCATTTTGTCCAAAATTTGGAGGAGCTCCCCTCAAACTACTGGACCCTGATTACAGGACCCCCCCTCCACCCCCGAGGCCCTAAAGCGCCTACCCCTGGCTTCATGCGGAATGCATGAAACTCGTGCCTTAGGGCTTTACGGAGTGTAGGGGGTTTGAGGGTTTTTAGAGGCTTTGGGGGTTTTAGGGGTTTCGGGGTTTAGGGAAGTTTAGGGCTCTAGGGAAGTTCAGGGTTTAGGGAAGTTTGGGGCTTAAGGGGTGTTAGGGTATAGGGCGTAATCTCGAACAAGGTGCCCCCCCCCCCCCCCCGGCCGCCTGTGTTCGGGGCGCGCATTGTAAGCCACCTCTGAAAGCCCGCCACCTGAGTAACATTTGAATGATATTGTAACATAACATCCACTTGCCAATGTGGTGTGTGTATATATATAGAGGTGTATATATATATATATGCATATTTCAGAGTATTCTCATTCTATCTATGTATACTCTAGTGGTTCCTCAGCCATAGCCTAAAACCCTAGGCCCTATCAACCCAAACCCCTATGAAGCACACCAGCCCTAAAGCCCTCCCAATGGGGAGACACGAGTAGCTTGGCATAGGCTCTTGAAGAACCCAAGAAGCCCTAAACCCTGAGAAGGCACGCACAAGTCTATAGGGGGGCTGGGAGTCTGGGTGCTTTGCGTATTTTGCCCCTGCATCCCCCATCAACCCTCAACAAGACCCCAAAACCCCTAAACCCTCAACCCCCAATGTGCATGTCCCGAAATGGCGGGTACCCCTTTTATACCCCAAATAGGATAGAATCCCCTTGATGCGACCCCCGAAAAGGGTACCCCCATTTTCGGAAACCCCCAAATCAGTTCGGAGGGGTCGCCATGTCGAAGAAGTCCGCCAGCTCCTTAGTTCCAGCCGAAAAAGTTCCGGGGTGAACGCAAATTCTCGAGCCCCCTCATCGAAGCTCTGAAAAGGCCGTGAGCCCATATGAGCTGCAACTAAACCTACTGGTTCGTAGTAGGGAATGAGGGAAGTAAGTGCCTTATATCTCGCTAGCTAAATCCTTTAAGGGATTCTACACCTGTACCGAATTCCCTGATTCCCTAGTCAAAACAAGCAAATACATCCTCTTGAAGCCTCAGGCTCGAGATTCCCCAACGAGCTCCCAAAACACCGGCCATGTTGAGGGATTCTTCCCGAAGCGCCACCCCTCTCTCGAAATGTCGGCCCCTTTTGGGAGGGGGGGGGTTTCCCATTACAACACGGAGCCACAGATTTAGGGAATCTCTGAAAGGAACCACCCAAAATCCTAAACCCTAAAACCTAAAAACCCTGAACTACACCCACTTGGGGGGCTAGCCGAGGCTCGTGATGCGACACGCAGGACTCGCAGAGCTGCGCGCTGGGCGCCGGGGGCGTTCCTCGGCCCACAGCGGCCAGGGCGCTCTGCTGCAGCACCCCCCGGACTACCTGAGGGCGGTTTCCGGGTGTAGGGTTTAGGTTTAGGGCTTTAGGGCTTTAGGGCTTTAGGGCTTTAGGGTTTCGGGTTTCGGGTTTCGGGTTTCGGGTTTCGGGTTTCGGGTTTCCGGTTTCGGGTTTCGGGTTTAGGGTTTAGGGTTTAGGGTTTAGGGTGTAGGGTGTAGGGTGGTTTAGGGTTTACAGGGTTTAGGGTTCCGAAGGCCTCTACCTGAGAGGGCGGCTTGCGGAAAGGTGTTTGGCTTCGGGGTGTAGGGTTCCGAAGACCTCGAGGGGGCGCCGGAAGACCTAAACCTCTGACGCCCCTGCAACTCTACATCCCTAGACCTTAAGCCCGGAGCCCTAAAAGCCCTAAAACCCCAGCCTACTAACACCCTAAATCCCCAAAACCCAAAACAAAAACCTAAAAACCCTAAAACCCTGAAACCCTGAAAACCCTACTAACACCCTTGAACCCTAAAACCGTTCAACCCCGGAGTTTGGCTCAACGAAGCCAGGGGCACCAGGAAATAGAGGCAAAGCAGCGTCCAGGCCAGTGGGGAGAGGTGACCCTCGAAGGACTTGTTGAGGCCCTCGAGCTTCGGATTTGTTTGCAAGCCGTAAAATATGTGGGTGTAGGGCTTTTGAGGATGGAGGGGGTCCTACAATTTGAGGGTCTATGTTAGGGGTCCCTTATGATCGTAAACCCTCAAATGTCCATGAGTTACCAGACCCAAAAGAAGGTACCCCGAATATCGTAAACTCCCATTTATGTATGTAGCATTTGGAGTTCGGATCCTCGATTTTCGCCCACCGCTTCACCAGCAGCACTAGGCAAGACGCCTGCCACGGGGCCGAGGAGGAAGCTGGCATTTCAGCTTTGGGGGGGGGGGGGTTTGGGGTTTAGGGTTAGGGTTCAGAGATTAGGGGGCTGTTTAACAAAGGCGAAACCTGGCCGAAAGTCTGAACGCATGGTCCAGGTACCCGACTGAGGTTTCGGCTGTTTTTTGAGAGAGCCTTGTAGACGGGCCTGCCCTAAACGCTGCATCAGTGCTGCATCTCTGTTACTCAAAAATGAAACACATCTGGAAGGACGCCGGGGACTGGCAAACCCCAAAGCCTCAGGTCAAGCAAACTGGGCTGAAGCCTCGTGAACCCAACCGCTTTACGGTGCGGGTTGCGGGGTTCCGGGTGTAGCGTTCAGGGCTTGCGGGTAGATCTTGCCCTCCTTTCAAGCCCCAGGGGAAGGGGGGGTGTGGGAATAAACCCTGAACACTGTAGAGCAACGCGCCTTGGGCACGTTGGCGAGCGCATGCTGGATCAGCTGGTCCACGTGGCCCTTGGGCACACCGCAGGAGTCCAGCTCGCCCATGCTAATGTCGACCTGGACTTGGGGCTTGGGGTGTTGGGGCCCAGTTTAAGGCTTAGGGCCTAGGATTTTGGGTTTAGGGCTTAGGGTTTAGGACCTTATCTTGTCACTTTTGGGGTCTCTCCTATGTAGTAAAAGTCTTTAGCAGCTTTCCCCCCCCCCCCCCCCCTGCCTTCCTAACTTGACCCTAAAGCAAACACCCTGTGCCTCTGAGAGCTATAAGACCCCTGTCTTTGGGTGGTTCTGATTGGGGACGGGAAGGCTGAGTTCAGGATACAGCGCTGGCCGCCCCTTTGTAGACCCCTCATGCCCCCAACATCCCCGCACACCCTCGCCGCGAAAAAGAACTAACAGCAGCAACATTGCATACTTACTATCATGAAAATACCTGCCCCTAACCCCCCCCCCCCCCAAAAAAAAAAAAAAAAAACATGAAAAGGGCAAAGAAGAACGCGCCTGGATGGGCTCCCGCAGTTGGAGTTCCAAGGGCCCGGAGGCCGGGGGGAAGAAGTCCAGGATCCTCGGGGTCCAACCGCCGAGGATAGCGTCGGAGTGGGGGGTTTACGGCCCTTAGGGGATTCAAAAAAAAGTAAAGAAGAAGAGAAGAGGAGTCTTAAAGACTAGGATAGCCTGCAGGTGTCGGACTTGCAGGGGCTTTGGGACCAAAAGCTTCTGGCGCTTAGGGATGTCCAGCCTAGTGCTTACTGTTGGGGGGGGTGAAGCTTCACCTACACCCAATCTGTGTCGCCACAAAGGTCTCGGAGTGCGACCGGGGGACAAGATGGGAACGCGGACATGCCAGCCGAAGCGGGTCTCCTTTAGCGGAGATGTTCCGAGTCTCCAAAGTGGCTTTGAGCGCCTTGCTTAAGGCCCCTACAAGAAACCCTCATGTAGAATAACGCATACAGTCTGTCGCCTGGGGAAGCAGTAGTAGTGGTAGTAGTAGCAGTAGCAGTAGTAGTAGCAGTAGTAGTAGTAGTCGTCGTCGTCGTCGTAATGGTAGTGGCGGTGTGGTCGTGGTCGTGGTCGCGGTCGCGGTCTCGGTCTCGGTCGTGGTCGTGGTCGTAGCGCCGCCGCCGCCGCCGCTGCCGTCGTCGTCGTCGCCGCCCCTGTCATGGTAGTGGCACTGGCGGTTGCAGTTGTAGTCGTCGTCGTGAGAAGAAGAAGTAGCAGCTATGGCACGGCTAGATGTCTATGCCCACCGGTCTACCCTGGCAAGGTCTTCCTTGACCACGAAGATCTGCTGCGGCAGCCCCTGCATCAAGGTCTGGAGCGCCGACACCTGCGCCTGCAAAGATCGACACGCGCGCACCATGCCCCCAACCATGCCCCCACCCGGAGCACACCCTTCCCACACAGCGCGGACACATCGGTCACGCACACCACACCCGGAGACGCGGCACTTGCAGTCGCTAGGTTTTGAGCTCAAAGCTGGTGAGTGTTTGGGTTGGCCCTCTGAAAGAATGGAAGCTTTGGAAGTTGCAGATCGATTCGGCATGTCGGCTTCTGCACAGGAGACCCGTGGCCGAGGTGGGTCGCGTAGCGTTAGCAGCACGTTGAGGAGTTTAGGGCTTGCGGGTTTTGGGGGCCCGCGGAACCTCCGGAAGCACCCCAAAACCTCTGAAAGCACTGAAAGGCTCGACTGTTTTAGCGTCAAAACCCAGCGCAAGGCGCCTGATGCCAGCGCCGTCCCTGGGACTGGTTGCCCAAGGCGTCGCTGGAGATGAAAAGGTCCAGGTCGGATCCTTGGCGCTCCCGCCCCCACCCGTTTAGGGTTTATAGGGTTTAGGGTTTAGGGTTTAGGGCTGCTTAGGGCTTTAGGGCCGAGGGAACTCGGAACCCCAAACCGTAATCTCCGGACCGTAAGGGAAGGGCCCAAGGAAACCCTAGCCTTCCGGAACGAAGACCCTTAACAAAGCCCTAAACCTCTAAACCTACCTAATGTAGAGGCCTTAATAATGAGAGTACAGTAGACATATATTTAGGGACCATATTTAGGGACCATATTTAGGGACCATAAGGGAGTAATATTAGTCACTCCTGCGACCCCTAGATTCCCTAAATAGCGGCCCGGAACCCTGAAGCCTTGAGCCAATTGAGCCCCCGCCTTCCAGGAACGTGCCCTGCAGAAGTGACCCAAAGGGCTTCACCTGCCAGAGGGCATTGCAGGCAGCGGGTTTAGGGTTTGGGGCTTGGGGTTTAAGGTTTAGGCTTTAGGGTTTACGGTTTAGGGTTTAGGGTTTAGGGTTCAGGGTTTAGGGTCTATAGGGCTTAGGGAGCAGATGGCAAACTGAGGGGTCAGGGGTTTAAGGGGGTGTTCGCGATTTAAGGGTGTAAGGTTTCTATCGGTTTGGTGGGGGGTTTAGATCCGCTTGCTTCAACCTTGTACCCATCTTCACTCCCCCACTCTCCCTAAACCTTAAAGCCTCTAAACATAAGACGCACCCCACAAACTCAGCAGACCTACTCTGCAAGGTAATTTTTGGGCTCAGAAAAGTTTAGGGTTTAGGGTGTGGCCCCCTAGGAGGCTAAGACACACGTAATAACAGGGAACGTTTGGCCCTTCATGGGGGGAAGATTGGAGACCCTAAACCCTCAACCCTCAACCCTAAACCCTAAACCCTAAACCCTAAACCCTAAACCCTAAACCCTAAACCCTAAACCCTAAACCTCAACCCTGCAAACCCTCAACCCTGCAAACCCTCAACCCTGAACTCTCAGACCCCACCTGGGCATCCCCCGCGAGGCACCTCAAGGCCACCTCCTGGAAAAGTCTTCTGAGGTTCGGGTTGAGGGGGATGAGGGGGTTGAGGGGAGGGTTTAGGGTTTAGGGCCGTTTAGGGTTCAGGGTTTAGGGTTTCGGACAAATCCCACTTGGTGGAGGCGGACAGAATTCAGATCAACCCAACTTGGAGCGTACGATTCAAGAGCAGCTGAAGCCCCCTGAGAGTTTCGGAGTTTGGGGCTTTAAGGGGTCTTCGAACCTGACCCGACTCCATAGGTTATAAGGGTTTGCGGCTCAAGCCTCCAAAGGGCCCAACGGAACCTTACTGATGGAATTGAGGGGCATCTTCAAGGTGAAGCTGGCTAGCTGAAGCCTAAATATCCTCAACCCTCAACCCTCAACCCTCAACCCTCAACCCTCAACCCTAAACCCTAAACCCTAACCCTACCAGCTGCCCGAAGAGCTGCCTGCACCAAGGACAAGGCCTCCGTCAGCACGGCCTGGCACAGCCGAGGCTTCAGGGCTTTCTGCCTCTCTTGCGGAAGGAGAGAGACCTATAGAAGCCCTTAGAAAGGGTTTCATTAGGGTTTAGGGTTTAGGGTTTAGGGTTTTGGGTTTTGGGTTTAAGGTTTAGGGTTCAGGGTGCATACTATTCTTGGCGACGGGGTTTTCTCAAGCCCGAAGCCCCGCGGCCTGGAAGCTCGCCGAAGGCAGAAGGGTGGCCAGAGTCCTGGCAAGGGGGTTAGGGTTTAGGGTTTAGGGTTTAGGGTGTAGGGTCTAGGGTTGAGGGTTGAGGGTTGAGGGTTTAGGGTTTTGGGTTTAGGGTATAGGGTTTAGGGTTTAGGGTTTTGGGTTTAGGGAATGGTCTGGGGCCGCTGTGCCGAGGACCGTACTAGGGTTTGGGGGAGGGGGGGGGTTCTCTGAAGTATAGGGGTAAGTAGGACATGGTCCCGTTTTCAGGGTCTCGCCTGTTTTGCGTTACAAGGCTCACAGGTTTTGGAAGCCGTACTCCCCGACGGGAGATGACTGTCAGAAATGCCTCAAGGGTCCTATTCTACACTCCAACTCCTAAACGAGGGGTCCTTTTGCATCCTTGAAGGATTCTATAGAGCACTAAGCAGTGTCTGCAAGTGGACCCTCCCTATTTTACAACACCTCTTGAGCTGCTTCTTCGGCCCCTCCCTGAGCTTGCCAGGCGACCGCCCCAACGGCCCCAACGCCGCCGAGGACGGAGCCGCCTCCGTGGGCGCCTCCTGTAGAAGCCGGAGTTTGAGGGGTTGGGGGGTTGTGAGATGCAGATTTAGGGTTTAGGACTTGGCGTGTACACACGGTTTTTGGGAAGACGCGGGACTGCGACGCCGGGAAACATGTACGAGCGCGGACTTCTTTGCATGGGATCTCGGGCGGCGTTCTCAAAAATTGGGCTGCCAAGGCGTCTACTCCGGGGCGTTAGGGTTTAGGGTGCACGCTTTAGGGTAGGGTTTAGGATTTAGGGGTTAGGATTTAGATTTAGGGTTGAGGGTCCTAGAAAGTAGGGTCCTAGAAAGCTGCGGGCGTTGGCCTAGGAGCGATATGCCGGGAGGCCCCTAGAGGCTATATGGGTGGTTGTCAAAACTATGATCCCTTTTGGGGTACCGTAAAAGAAAGGTGCCGTATTATGATAGGGATCCAAAAAGTGACCATAATTTTGACAACCACCCATATAGAGCCTTCTCAATTCCACCAACCCCCACCAGAGGCGGGGTGAAGGAGATCCCTTCTGACATGTGGCCCCTTTCTGTAGAAGCCCAAGAAACCCTACAAACCCAATCCAAAAAGCCTCGAATACCCGAATAAACCCAGTAATTAAGCCCTAACAACTCAGCCTAAAGCCGAAGCATTCAAATTCCACCAGCCTCGACCCCAAACAGAAACAGCACAAACTACAAAAGTAGGAGCTTTCAGGTTGCATGATGTCAAGAACAGCCAGCAAATACCCCACGCAAGGGGTTTCGCCATCCCACCCCAAAGGCAAAATGCCGAGCTAGCCCAGCATTCTGGTCACAACACGCTAAGGTTGCGGTTGAATCGTAAGGGTGTGAGTGAACTGGGCATTTGTTCACATGCTGGGGTCGCGCAGCTGCTTCCGATCAAACAAATAGGTATGCGTAAAACGAGCGCAATAAAGTATGCGCAGATATCTGCTATGACTCCGCAGTGTCAAGTGGCAGAATGCTGCGGCTGGAACAAAACAGCGCTCAGCAAGTCTACGAAGGTACATACCAAGGGATGTTGCTTGAGATTTAGCATGTTGCCCTCGAGTAAAATCTAGATTCCGAATCAAAAGCGATCAGGGTTTATGTTTATGGTTTCAGGATGTCTCAGGTCCAGAGTCTAGGGTTGTCAGCCTCACGTCTTCAACCTGACAATGTTCATGCAAAGTGCTAACATGGTTTACCAAGATTTTGCAAGACGAAACACCACGCCCAGAACATGTCGCCCTCTATCTCAGACAGTAGGAAACGAGACATGAAGGAACACAACAGCATATCATGAAGAAAAGCAAACCTTGCCTTTACCGAGAACATCGCAGCATCTGTTTCCCCATCTCGGACAGCAGAAAAACAATGGACAAAACACATGCCGACAAAATGAAGACAAGCATGCACATGCTTAGAGACCAGAATACAAGACATGAAGGAGAATATGGCACAATCTGAAGGAAGACAAAGCCTGCCGATGCCCGGTAGCACGTCACAGCATCCGGCTGCCCGTGTCGGACACCAGAAAACGAGACATGAGGGGAGACAATAGCACATTATAAAACAAAAAACAAATTACAAATCCTGCCCGTCCCCAGAAGCGCGTCACAGCATCCGGCTCCCAGGGAG